AGGCCAAACACAGAAGATCAACAAAATATATGACATAAATGAACTTACCAAAGCTGAAGGCTCACTTGAAAAGAAAAGCGGCACGGCGGTCCTTCCTCTGACAGAATGTGTCTATCACTTTGGGGATGAAGTCCTGTAGTTGCTGGATCAACTGGCTTTCAATTGAAAGCATGGCCAATGCGTTAAGTCGCGGCTGTCCCATGGTGTTGCGAGTGAAAGTCTTTATCCTTTTGAGGGTGGAAAAGTTCCTCTCTGACTCGGATGTCGTCATCGGAGTTGTTACTATTATTTTGACCAAAATAATAGCCTCAGCAAACGTATCCTCCAAGTTGTTCTCGTGAATGGATTTCAACAGAGACAGGGCAGTGTTTCCAGTGTGAAGCTCACTGTGGCGGTAGAGCGTGGTCAGCTCAGACTTCAACTTCTCCTTGTTTCCCAACGCAGGCCACAGTTTCACGGCGCAGTCAAGCTCAGCTGTAGGAAATGACAGGACATGCTGTGGGAAGAATGAGCTGTCAATGAGCTTTGCAGCGATCAAATGGTCACTCTGTGAGAACCTCTGTTCCACCTGTGAAAGGACTGTGTCACCAGCCTTCTTCATCACCGGCGCTGTGCTGCTGACTCGTCGGCCTGGCTCGTCTGTTCCATCATGAGCGGTGGCGGCCAATGCATCAGTTTGTTGCCTCATTTTCTGGACATGTTCCTTGAAACGGCAGAGCGCGCTGTTGATCCCAGGTGCATCGATGCTTCGTTTTTGCAGAGTGTTGTATAAAACATCCACTTCTGGCATAAGCAACGAAAAAACTCCAGGAGCTGCATAAATGCTCGGTCCCGCAGTTTCTTTGACAGGCCGTATGCCTCACTTATGGTGACCGCATCCCATCCTGGTTGTGCGCGTATATGCTCCATACACTGAAGCAGTGCTTCTCGGGTCTCCCAAACCGCGTTCACAGTTCTGCTTTTAAAGTTCCATCTCACAGTCGGTGGCCGTGAAATGCGTCTCTGTGTTGCCTCTGCAAGAGCTGCAACACGTTTTGGAGCACCGGAGAAAAAAGAGGAAAAAGCAGTTAGATCTGCAAAAAACACCTTCAGGATGCTCATCCTTGCTGAACTGCTGCAGGGTCAGGTTCAGTTGGTGGGCGTAGCAGTGAACTAACTGAGCGTTTGGGTACGTCTCCTTCATCACCGTCTGTACCCCGCGCACGTTACCGCTCATGACGGCCGCCCCGTCATAGGTCTGAGCGATTAGCTTTTCTTTCAGCTTCAGGGGTTCCAGAACAGCCTTGATGCTGTTAGAGAGACCTACACCAGTTGTGTCCTTTACTTCCACAAACTCCAAAAAACGCTCTGTAACTGTGAGGTCAGGCATAATGTATCGCAGCACAATCACCATTTGCGATTTACAGGAGACATCGGTTGTCTCGTCGGCCTGAACGGCAACAAATGATGTGTTGTCCACTTGCTTGGCTGTTTCCTCCCTGTACACATCATACATGCAGTCCAAGAGTTCATTCTGTATGGTGCTTGATGTCCCTTTGAAAACAAGCTGAACTTCGTAGTGCCGTCAAAGCCTGGAATCGCCCTCACACATTGTCTCGAAAATTGACCTGAATATCCCTGGATTCAGAGAGTCCACCGACTCGTTGTGGCCCCGCAGTGCTGTCTCACATTTCCCACACAGTTTAATACAGGTGATGATCCGACCAAGCACGTACCTGTTTTCTTCCACCTTCCTATTATGATCATCAATGCCGCGTCTGTAGGCGCTGTCAATCTGAGCTGCAACATTCACCCTTCCAAGTAATCCCAATTTTACGGCATTTTCCAAATGACTGTTGCTGCTCTCATGCTTCATTGTCCTCTCCGAAAGATGCTTTAAGTCCTTGTAACCTGTCCTCGACCAAGTACCTTGATCTTCACCAAAAAGCAGGCAAGGAAAGCAAAAGAGGGAATTCTTCTGGATGCTCGCCGTTAGCCATTTCTTTTAAGCAAACCACTCAGCGTTAAACCCACATTTAACTTTGCCCGCAGTCTGGACCATTTGGAAATCCGGTGGATGGTGGGCACCGAGGCGCTTTACCTCCAGTTTCTCTCCGAGACTAAGTGTCTCAAATGTGTGCTCCAGTAAATGGTCAACTTCATTCATTTTCTTTCAGTTTTTTACTTCTTTTAATGGCTGGTGATGTTAGCTATATGCTGCTCTCTCATCTCCTCTTCAAACTACACGTGACGTTTCGCAGCACTGCACACGTGACGTACTTACAGCCAATCAATTCTGAATTATGTGAGATGACGTATGGTAGGGATAGAAGCACTTTGCGCCTATGGTCATTATTTTTTTGCCACACACATTAAATAGAAAATACTCTGAGCATGCGCAGTGTAGTTTTTACAGTCACCGTTCACTTAGACAGTGAGAGGGAGGGGCAGGATCGAGTTTTGTCCCACATGGCTCTAAACAGCTCAAAACGGCACTGTAGACACTAATTAGAAGAACACAGACTAAAACAGCAATGTACAGACGAATCAGATGATTAAACATGATCTTAAAATATATTTCATTTTTTATTTTTATTTTTTTTAAGTATTTTTTTGTAATCATTATTTGTAATACTTTCTACTGACACTAGGTGGGGCTGTGCCCCACCTACCTGCCCCTAATGACCCGTCGCCACTGCCTACGTGGTAGTCTGGTCAAAAGTGGTCTTCAATGGCATTAAAACGATACAAACGATGCTGAAGTTAATCCATAGGTTAATCCAATGTGTCTGTGTCCCTTTGAAATGATTTCTGATCATCCATGAGCAATAAATCTTTTTTTCGGTTTTGAAATGTCAGACCTAGAGACGGCTTCACTCTGGAGCAAAACTGTGGGCGCAAAGCGCCATCTTTTTTTTAAACATGAGTGTGTGCGGGGAGATTTCCCTTCTATTCTATTGGCTCTAACGGTCAAAGAGATGTCACATGTCAAAATCGAAGAGATAAGGAAAATCCACCCAAATGACACCAGAAGTGGGTTTTTTTTGCTAAATCTGTCTAAAAAGGTCATATTTCACTTGTTTTGCATCAATCTTGATACAGGGTACTTATTATATGTTGTAGTTTGGATTCCAAATGCTTTTAGTCTACCATACCATCATCCAAGGGTGGTTTTCACTATAAGTAATTATTATTTTTTGGACGGACACAATCATTAAATTGTTTTTACTGTGTTCAATCTGAATTTACTTTAAAATAACAACATCTATATTGATTCTGACACTTCTACATCATACTCACAGGTGTAACCTTGCTTTGAGAAAAAAGATTATTAATTTAACCCTTTTAGAAGAAAATATATGGTCATTTGTTCTGGGAATGTCATTTTCGAGTCTGAGACCTGAAAAACAGGCTTGGGGCTTAACAGGTTAAGAGGTTAATCACCGAAAAATGCAATTACGATAGAAATTGTCCCCTGTCAAAAGTTTCTATGGTGTACTACTTAAGCTCAAGGTCATGGCTTCTTCATTTGTTTTTTTCGAGAGGTTTTGAGAATTCTTCATAATTTATTGGGTCTTTAAAAATTCAAAAATTGCCTGAACAATTTATCAGATCTTATGATAATGATTAACTAACATAATGTTTGAAGCCTTTACGCGCTTGTAAAACGTTTCGAATGGATCCATGTTTCTTAGAGATTTACAATTTAAAAAATGTTACACATTGCTGAGTTGCATCTTAAATTAATATTAATATTTCCAACTCTTACATGTATACCCCTTTTATGTGGCATATACTATTTACTCTTGTATATCCTCTATACCCTGCCCTTCAAAGAACAGAGAATAGTAAGGTGTAAAAGGTTTTGGGTTTTCAAAGTCTCTGTTAACTAACTCAAACTCTGTTTTCTGTCCCACAGACTGAAGAGCGCAGCAGACGATGCTCTGAAACACCAAAGAAGTGTCTTGTTTTCCTCTGCAAAAACCCGAGAAATCAAATATATCAGGAAGAGGCAAGACCGGAGCTCAGCTCCCATTGGCTCACACATAACTCGAGCCCTGCATGCGGCGTCTCGTCGCTACGGTTCTCTCTCTGTGTGTTCCTGAGAAAGTGTGTGTGAGCTCCAGCTCTACTGATCCATCATCTGTGTGTCTGGATAAACCTCTGAATGGACTCTGTGCTCTTTTTTCTGGAGCGTTTACCTCGGACTATAGGAGCTAGCTTAGCATGCTAGCTGGAAACACGTTGGCAACACTAGTCAGATTGAGAGTTTGACGGAGAGGGAAACGGTGTGTTTAACGGAGTCTGCAGGGAAAGGTGATCTAGGAAACATGAGTAAAGTCCAGATGCTGCTGTCGTTGAAGAAGCAGCGACTCACTGCTGCTGCTGAAGAGATATTTGCTCTGTTTGAACAAACAATAGCAGAGCTCGAGGAGGAGCTGTTTCTTTCCAAAGAGGAGAACGAGAGACTCCAGAAACTACTGGACGCTGTTTTACAGCCTCAGCTTCGGATACACAGAGCAGATGTCCAGCAGCTGGTGGTGGTTAAAGAAGAGCCTCTCCCTGACCAGCAGGAGGGGAGCACCAGCCTGGACCAGGAGGACCCAGAGCCCCCCCCACACATTAAGCAGGAACAGGAGGGAGAGCAGCTTCAGGAGCTGGAGGAGGCTGATATCACCAAGTCCACTTTCACTCCTGACCCTGTGAAGAGTGAAGATGATGAAGAGAAACCTCAGTCCTCTCAGCCTCATCAAAGACAAACTGATCACATGGAAACAGAAGCTGATGGAGAGGACTGTCGAGGACCAGAACCAGCCAGCAACTCAGATCCAGAGAGCAGTTTACAACCAAAGACTGAGGACCACACTGGAGACTCTTCTGAAGACACTGATGACTCTTCTGAACCTGACACTGAAGACAGTGCTGATTGGAAGGAGACCAGAGAACCTGCCTCAGGCTCAAACTCACTGAAAAATAGACAAGAATCTGTCAGTGATCCCCGACGTAGTGCTGGAAAGAACCGATTCAGCTGCTCAGTCTGTCAGAAAGCTTTTAGATATAGATATAAACTAGATCAACACATGAGAGTCCACACCGGAGAGAAACCCTTTCGCTGCTCAGTCTGTGAGAAAACTTTTTCATGGAGTGGAAGTTTAAAGAAACACATGAGAGTCCACACAGGAGAGAAGGCATTCAAATGCTCAGTTTGTGAGAAAGCTTTTTCACAGAAGGAAACTGTAAAGAAACACATGAGAATCCACACAGGAGAGAAAGCATTCAAATGCTCAGTCTGTAAGAAAGCTTTTTCACAGAATATACATTTAAAGAAACACATGAGAGTCCACACAGGAGAGAAGGCATTCAAATGCTCAGTTTGTGATAAAGCTTTTTCACAGAAGGAAACTGTAAAGAAACACATGAGAGTCCACACAGGAGAGAAGGCATTCAAATGCTCAGTTTGTGAGAAAGCTTTTTCACGGAAGGAAACTGTAAAGGAACACATGAGAATCCACACAGGAGAGGAAATATACAGCTGCAATGTTTGTGACAAAAGATTTAAATGGCGTCATTTTTTCAAAAGGCACAAGTGTGTTGGTCTTCAGTCCTCACAGCTTAATGAAAATAACGGAGAGGCAGAGCCTCCAATCAGCAGCTCAGCTGAACACATGGAAACAGAAGCCGATGGAGAGGACAATGAATAAGTCTTATGACTGTTCACACGTGAGAGAAATCTGTCTGTGGACAATATGTTTCATGTTTTTGTCATTCTGATGTTTACGTTAAACACTGACTGTTGATGAACCACTGCTCATTTAAGGTGGACTGACCTTTACAATGGACCAGCTAGTCTTAGTGTCTTAATGCAAACGTTTTGTAAAATGACTCTAGACCAACAAGGTGCTGTTGGGCTGTGTGCTCTCTGCAGGACGGTGTCTGTACTCAAAGGTTGTTTATGAAATGAGAGCTTCACTCTGCTTTTGTCATCCAAATGACGCCAACAGAGCGATACGTCTTCTTTCCAGCAGATGGCAGACATGTTACATCATCCAGTTCAACTGTCATCCACATAGTAATGATTCAAAACAGCAATGTGTGAGACATGGCTAGTAATTGACTCACAATCTCAACAGAATGTGAAGAGGTTACAGTCTTGCGGTTATGTCCAAGATGTTGTTTTTTGTTGTTGTAAGAGATAATAGGGATTGATGCAGACAATAACCAGAAGATAGTCTGGATAGAGCCTTCAAAGAACCAGAAAGCGTTTTGAAGATTATTAGGGATATAGAAAGAATACAAATATTACAAATTATTATACTTTTTGCAGTGTCAACATCTACAAATGTTAAAGTATTCATTTATTAATAAATCATATTTGTTATAATTATGTATTTTTCAATTTGTTCATCACCTTAGTATTGAAGCTGATAAAGTTGGAGCTATTTTTAATAGCAGTATTGGCTATGCTGCTTGGTAGTTTATTTTTTGTTGAAATACGAAATAATTCACGAGTTGATTTTATTTTTTATAAAAATCAGAATCTGTAAAATAAAATTGTGCCATAAAAAGTCCGGAGGAAAGGCCCGTGCCAAGGCTAAGACCCGCTCCTCCAAGGCCGGGCTCCAGTTCCCCGTCGGCCGTGTCCACAGGCATCTGAGGAAGGGTAACTACGCCCAGCGTGTCGGTGCCGGAGCCCCGGTGTACCTGGCCGCTGTGCTGGAGTACCTGACCGCTGAGATCCTGGAGCTGGCTGGAAACGCCGCTCGGGACAACATGGGTTCATGCGATAACCTCTCTGTTATTAATGGCTAATATAGATTGGAAATCTGTTCTTAATACACCACCTCCGACTCTCTTTTCCTGGCACTACACTGGTGACCTTGACTTTTCCGGGAAATTAACGAGCATGGCTGAACGCGATGTTTTCATAAAGCTGCCGGAATTCTGGGAGCACGCCGCGGAGGCATGGTTCGCACATGTGGAGGCGCACTTCGCCTGCCGACAGGTCCGTGACGGGGACCTGAAATACTACCATGTGGTAGCAGCGCTGGGCAGCTCTGCGTCGTCCAGGTTGGTGGGATTCATCGCAGCCCCCCCACACCATGGCAAATATGAGGCGATTAAGGCCCTTCTCCTTAAGACATTTAGCTTATCTGCTAAGGAGAGGGTCCGCCAGATACTTGACATTCAAGGCCTAGGAGACAGCAAGCCATCCCAGCTAATGGAGAGAATGCTAAATCTGCTAGGGGGGGATGATCCCCGAATTTTATTCACGGAGATTTTCCTGGGTCACTTGCCTCCCCGGGTCCAGACGGCGCTTATGGAACGCCCTTTGCGCCACAATTCGCGCGTAGTTTCACGCGGATTAACGGGGAGGTCCGTTTATTCGCGCGAAACTACGCGCGAATAAACGGGGAGGTCCGTTTTATAAACAGGGAGGTCCGTTTAAGTTCAAAGTCTCAGTAACCAATCAGTGAAGAGCAAAACCAGACCAAAGCAATCTGTAGATGAAAAGTTCCTGACATTGTGACGCTGTAAATTGTACGTTATTCCAGATTCAGGGGACTATGAATTAATTTGGCTTTCAATATAATAAATATATCAATCAATATAACCTGCCTTCATTGTCTTTTAAAATAAAATCGCCTTACCTTATTTTACTAAAGTGAAGGGTATTTATGTCTCCTTAAATCACCTTTTAAATGTACTTCTTATAACATGGCATGGTGTAACATATCAAAATGTTCAGTCTCTGGTCTTGCTAGAAATGCAATGTCACTCACCTTAGACTTAGAGCACTGTCTTATGAGATACTTAGCTTAGAAATCAGATTTTTGGAAAACTTAAAAACTCTTGTGAAAACACAGATGTACTCATGTCATGCATTTTTTTTGGTGTTTCAGATTTGGTTTACCAACGTTTTTGGTTCACAAAAGTAGTGAAATATATGAATTACACTATAGGCCAATATAAATGTGTTGTTCATGTCTAAAACGAAAATGTGTAAATTAGAATTTGGAGTAAAATAGTTCTATCACTCTACTTTCACCACAGAAAAGTTACATCAGGACTGATTCATGACTTCATATTCCATACTGAGGTTCATGTGATGTGTACAAATACAAATTGAGCATTACAACTTATTTTTTCAACCAACTATTTATGTTAACATAAGAAACTGTAAAATCTCAATGTTTACAATACAGGGTTCATACACTTTTTTCACCAATGATTTTATAATGACTCTTTCATGTGGCTAGCATGCACTGCCTCGCCCATATTCAAAATATTGAATATGTTACAACACAGTTTGCATTTAGCACGTCTTGGGTCAATGTCTTTTGATAACCACAATTGGTACTTATTCTTTAGAAGCCATACATTGTTGAAACTGCACTTCCCTGGCATCTTTATATCAAATAGTAGCTCCTGTAGACTAGAGGGCGTGATTGTAAACATCTCTCACCAGCGAAATACTGCCACAGTTGCCATTTTACGTTTCATTATACGATACAGTATTTATTATCATTATAGAATTACTATTTTGGCGATTAGATAACATATAAATTATATTTGATGCAACTTTATTTATATTTCCATGACTTTTCCAAAACCTTGGGAAAAATATTGCATTCCATGACTTTTCCAGGTTTTTAATGACTGTACGGACCCTGACAATATCAGAACTTTCTCAACCAACTATTCATTATAAACGTAAAGACAGGGGGAGCAGTGCCATGGTCTTTGTCTTTCTTCCAAGACAGTGGGTCTGGCTGCTGTGTAGGTGGGGGTGATGGTGCATGGGCTGCTGGTGGCTGTGTCGGCGGGGAGGGAGGTGTGCTAGGCGAGACTTCTTTGCTGGCGGGGTTGATTGTGATGGCTGTTGGTGCGGCCTTTGTACCCGAGGTGTTATCTTAATCTTGTGGCAGGCACAGATGGAGGTGGAGGCTGCTGTTAGTGATGCTGCTCCTCTGGGTCCTTGTGGTGATTGTATGGTGAAGGCCCTTGAGCCCGGAGTAGATATTGAACTGCGGGAGGCACAGATGAAGGGTTTATTGCAGCTGTGGACAATCTGAACAAGAAATACAGGACAATAATTACTACTAAGTTCATTCAAATATAAAGTTCCAAGTGGAAGGGGGAGGAGAGAGAGCGAGAGAGAGAGAGAGAGCAGAAGAGAGAGAGAGAGAGAGAGAGAGAGAGCAGAGAGAGCTAGAAGAGAGAGAGAGAGAGGAAGAGCGAGAGAAGAGGAGAGATAGAGAGAGAGAGAGTATCTCTCTCTCTCTTTCTCTCTCTCTCTTATCTCTCTCTCTCTCTCTCTATCTCTCTCTCTCTCTCTTATCCCTCTCTCTTATCTCTCTCTCTCTCTCTCTCTCTCTCTCTTATCCCTCTCTCTCTCTCTCTCTCTCTCTCTCTTCTCTCTCTCTCTACTATGTTACACCCACACAATGAAAGTACACTATTACTGTAATATTTACCTATCTTCAAATGGATCCTTGTTGTTGTTGCTGTATTCTCCAGTTTCTGATGCTCCATCTCCACTGCTGCTACTGTTACAAGTCCGCTGTGCAGAGCTGGTAATCAGATAATAAGCCTGTTGAACAGGAGAAAATAATGAAGCAGAGGGAAGGTTGCTGCCGTTTGTGTGGTTTTCCTAGCCAGAATTTATTAAACACATTAATAAATTCACTTACAAATTATATCCGTTTTCTCTATTTATGTATCTCTGCGTTGTGTTGTGTGGTCGAATGAATATGACTTTCTTCTTGCCAACCAGCTTTATTATCTGTGCAAACAGAATATAAGGAAATGGCTTCACCAGCTTTCTACCTCAATACTTCTCCTCTGAGGCCTGAAGCTAACTGAGAATGTAAAAATACATTTAGCCAATCAAAATAACTATGTCTGACATATTTCGTTTTCTAATCAAAAATGGACATAAATGCAGATGCCATATTATGACTTTCATGAAGGATTAAAGCCTTTTTCATTTACAGTATATAATACAGTGATATAACAGATAACACACACAACCCGACTGTACTCACTTTAACATGGCTGTTGTACAGGCACAATATTAGCATAGCATTAGCGCTTTAGCATTTAAATCATATGAACAATTATGACCTCAGGCCAGCATTTCACATATTTATACAAACAGAATAAACTTGAAATGTAAGCCAGACTAGTGCACGGGACTCATACACATAGTAACATAGTAGAGCGCTACATTATTCAGGGAGCAACAGCCTGTGTTAAAGAAGCTAGCGGACGCCATTAGCCATACGCTAGTGGCGTAGCTCACAGAATGACATTAAACTACACATAAAACAGTTTCAAAGACACTTCTTAGATCGAAATATGACATAAGTGTACACACTACTAACCTGTTGAACAGGAGAAATTAATTAAGCAGAGGGCATCTTAATATTTAAAAACCTATTAATGTGTTATACCAGATTAACGAGAAGAATCTCAGCTAACTGACTATACGAACTATTTTTACCGAAACAAAACACAAGTCTCACAAGAAGCGTTAGCATTAGCCCTTAGCTAAAACGGGCAGATGCTACTTCCGGTGCTAACTAGCAAAAACGATCTTTAAAACTTAATATTTTCTGCACAAACTACATATTATCTGGAAGCTGATACTCCACAGATTATTTTATTATAAGTATCATCACTGTAGGACACAAACTCACTGAGATATCAGCCAGAACAGAGAAGAAAAAAAACCACAGTTTTCAAAACCATAACAATAATTATGTCTTACCGTTGCTGTTTTGTGATCAAAGCTCGTGTTCAAGGGAATAAAAACGCTGTTTAAGGTTAATCCAATGTCTATTAGTCACTTTAGAATTGTTCCTGATAATCTATCATTACATTCATGGCAGCAGAGTAGGTATAAAGTTTCGCTGTCTCACATGCTGTTTACGCGAACCTCTCTCTTCTTGACGTAAGTGTTTAGCGGGACTTACTAACTGCCACTCGATTCTATTGGCTCTAACGGTTCAGAAAAGGTGTCAATCACCCAAATCGACCAATGGGTTCCAAAGATATGATCCTGCGTAGTATAAACTACGCCTGCTCCGGCTCCATTACGCATTACGCAGCAGGACCCTACCGCAGCAGGACTGCACCACAGCACCACAGCACCACAGCACCACAGCACCACAGCACCACAGCACCACAGCACCACAGCACCACAGCACCACAGCACCACAGCACCACAGCACCACAGCACCACAGCACCACAGCACCACAGCACCACAGCACCACAGCACCACAGCAGGACATCACCACAGCACGCAGCGACGATAGCAGGTAACAGAGCACATTTCAAGGACGTTGATTTATTTGCTTTTAGATCTTTTTCTTGTGTAT